GTGGGGGTGGGGGTGGGCAGGCCGCCAGGGCCTTTCCCTGTGGATTCTCCGTGTCTGTCCCCACCTCCTCCCTCAGGGTCAGCCAGGGCCTCAGCCCGGCCAGGATCTTCATCCTCTTTGGAGCCTTCGAGTCACCACTGTCTCCAGTGAGGCCAGACCCTCCCGACTTCCCCGGGCACGTCCTCGACCCACGCACGAGAGGCAAGTGCCCTCGACCGGGACTCGAACCTGCGACCTTTTGGCACCCAGACCGACGCTCTATCCACTGAGCCAAACAGGTGAGGGCTCTTTTTCTTTTTCTTTTTGTTAATCCTCATCTGAGAATATTTTTCCTATTGATTTTTAGAGAGAGTGGAAGGGATGGAGGGAGGGGGAGAGAGGGAGAAACATCGATGTGAGAGAGACACATCGATCGGCTGCCCGCAGCACACACCTCAACTGGGACCAGGGAGCGAACCTGCAACTGAGGTTCGTACCCGTGACCGGGACGCGAACCTGCGACCCTTTGGTGCCCAGGCTGGCGTCCTAACCACTGAGCCACGCCGATCAGGGCTGAGGGGACTCGCACGACGTCGCCCTGGGGCCCTGGCAGTGGACACCCACGTGTGCGTGAAGGCAGACGGCCTTCAGCCAGAGGACAAGGGGCTGGAAGAGAGAGACGGCTGCCCGCAGCACACACCTCAACTGGGACCAGGGAGCGAACCTGCAACTGAGGTTCGTACCCGTGACCGGGACGCGAACCTGCGACCCTTTGGTGCCCAGGCTGGCGTCCTAACCACTGAGCCACGCCGATCAGGGCTGAGGGGACTCGCACGACGTCGCCCTGGGGCCCTGGCAGTGGACACCCACGTGTGCGTGAAGGCAGACGGCCTTCAGCCAGAGGACAAGGGGCTGGAAGAGAGAGAGAGAGTGTGTGGCTGACAGGCCTCAGCCAGCAAAGCTCCGAGACTGGGAGGGCACAGGACCCTCCGTCCGGGATCGGCGACGCTGCCCCCCCCCACAGAGACACCTGCCCCCCACTGTCCAGGGTCAGGGAGGAAGGCCCAGCCCTGTCCCCAGGGGGCGTGGCCCCTGCAGGGCCCCCCGACCAGCACACCGTGGAGAAGGACGGCTTGTGACCACCAGACGTTACCAAGGAGTCTGGGCCAACGAACGGGCTTTCTCACAGGGACGAACCTCTCAGCTCTACTTAACAGCTCCTTCCAAACAGCTGTTTCCTGAAACATAAACACCCTCGGCTGCGTGCGTTAAGGGAAGAATGTTCAATCCTCGATCGCAATGAAAAAGCATGTCCCTCCCCGGCGACCACTCCTTCACGTGCCTCTGAGCAGCGTCAGCGGCGAATTGCTTCTGGCGCACGGACTCCTCAGGGCTCCCCGGAGACAGGGAGCCAGTGAACAGTGTGAGGGTTCGCATTGACATCCCTGTTCATACTTGTGTCTGTAACGAGGGCTTGGCTCACCTGACGTGGAAGCCGGAGGCTCTGAGGGTGGATGGGGTGAGTGCTCAACGGAGTCCGGAGGCCTGAGCACGAGGTCAGTGGGCTGAGAAGACCCTGAGGGCGGGAGAATGCAGATGTTTCAGCTCAGCAGTCAGGGGGATGGGGGGGAGAGAGAGAGAGAGAATTCTCCCTTCCCCTACTTTTTTTATTCTGTTCAGACCCTCACCTGATTAGACAAGGCCCACCCACAGGGGAAAGCACCTGCTTCCCTCTGTCCACTGACCCCCAGAAACACCCTCACGGACACCCTGGGAACGCTGCTGGACCAGGCCCCTGGGCTCTCGCGGCTCCCACACCTCAGGTCGGCGTCCGGCTCATATCCGCACCCTCCCTTAGTCTCCGAGTCACAGCCACTGGTGCCGAGAGGCCACCATCCTTTCCCCGGAGGGTCCATTTTAAAGTATAATCGGCGCTCCGAACCCAGGCCGCCCGCTCTGGGATGTCTTCATGATGTTTTAAAACAGGGAAACGGGTCATCAAACACCCAGTTCAAATGGTTTCACTGGCTTCACGGCGATGCATGGCCTGGGGGCTCCGTCCGGAAGACCTTTCTTTGGCAAATTTTTTTGGGACGTAAAGCTTATCAGACAAATAGCCTCGACTTCAGGTTTCTTTCAATATAGATATTAAATTCAGATCCTGCAAGACTGTAGGCTTTCTCCAGGTTGCTCCCTCCATCCTGACACGGAATATACTAGTAAATGCATCTGCTTAACCTAGAAACCCTCCCCCCAGATCCGCCCCCCAGGTCAGGGGCTTGCAGGGTTTGCATCAGCCCGGCCGGCCTGTCTCTCGCTGTCGCTCTGCGGCGTCCCCACGATTCTGCAGAAATAAACGTCAGTGCTCTGCCCGAGGCTCTCAATTTGCTAAAAGCTTTAAGAGCCGAGCTCTGCGACGCCCCATTGTTTGGATCCTCTGATGGGAAAGTTCCTTTCCGATTGATCGGGGACACGATGTAACGTGCATCTG